TTCAGGCGGAAGTCGAAACTCCAGTGCGAGGAATTCGGTTTAGGGTTTAGGGTTTAGGGGGGTTCCCTGGAAGGGCTTCGTTCACTATGGGGTTTAGACTTCAGGGTTTCGAGGCTTGAGGGATGCAACAGCTGTGCCCGAGCTCCAACACCCTAAACCCGTCGAACTCGGGCCCTCGTCAATCCCGAACGGTTTAGGGTTTAGGGTTTAGGGTACTATGCGGCCACAATCGCGGCCTGAGGCTGCATTTTGTCTAGGGTTTCGGGATTGTGACTTTAGGCTTAAAGAGTTGGCAGGAGAGTAGCGGCAAGACGCAAAAACCGCCGCAAGGACACCCTAAACCCTGAACCCTAAACCCTAAACCCTAAACCCTAAACGGTTTAGGGTTTAGGGTTTAGGGTTTAGGCTCGGAGACTGCTGCCGGCAAAGGCATCTCTAAACTCACAAGAAAACGGGAGAATCCTTCAAGGACAAAGCAGCAGGATTAGGGTTTAGGGTTTAGGGTTTAGGGTTTAGGGTTTAGGGGTTAGGGTTTAGGGCCAAGACTTCCACAGCCGATTTCTTGCATTGAACACGAAACCCTGAACCCCAAGTCCTACGCAGGATTTGCTGCATCTCCCCCGCGCCAAGCCCTGCTTCCCAGCGGCAAATTGTCGCCGCCACCAGGGTGCCTCAGATTCAACTCGAGGCGGTGGCTTGGTTCGAGGCTTTGGGGGTTTAGGGTTCTGCTCTGAAGGATGCGTAAGGTTCAGGTTCTCAGGTTTAGGGCTAAGGATTTAAGTTAAGGTTCTCAGGTTTCTGGCTCTTGAGCTTAGCATTTCACCGTATTTAACCTTTGGGATTTCTGGTTTGCAGTTCAGGCTTCAGGGCTTTGCCGATGTTGGGAATGCCCACAGGTCTCTCGCAGAGCACGCAGCCGAAGCAAGTAGGTAGCGAAGTGCACGAAAAGGCTGAACATGACACCCTATAACCTTGAATTCCCAGATCTGCGTGGAGCAATTCCCAGCGTGTGAGGTTGAAGATTTCGGGAACCCTAAACCCTAAAAGCCTAAAAGCCCGAGATCCTCGACACTCCGAAAGCGCCTCAGCCCTTAAGCCTCAGAGCCAAAGCCCTAAGCCCAGCGGTTTAGGGGTTTATGGTTTAGGTTTTAGGGTTCAGGGTTTTGGGTTTAGGGTTTAGGGTATAGGGCATAGGGTACAGGGTTTAGGGTTTAGGGTTTAGGATTTAAGGTTTAGGGTTTAGGGTTTAGGGTTGGCTATCCCTAAAGACCCAAACCACCTACACTACTGGCTTGCTGCAACCGGGGCGCCATGGATCAGGTAGTGCCACAGCAGTGGCAGCCGGTCATTCCCCGAAATCCGGTCATCCTGGCGAATGGAGATCTCACCGATCTAGGAATGAGAATCTACTTGGAGGACTATGGGACTTAGTAAGTAAGGGTATAAGTCCCCTAATTAGGGTTATAAGTATAGCCTTAGTTATAACCCTACTTACTAAGTCCCATGATCCTTTAAGTAGGTTTGAAGATTTATGTTCTGGTTAGAGTTTTGGGCCGAGGGTGTGGGGTTTATGTCTGGTGCCATTGAGACGTAGCAAGGAGGGTTTTGCACAGACGGCCTAGCCCGAAACCCTAAGCCGTCGACGGTGCAGAGGATTTATAAGAAAAGGCTCAGCAAAAAGCGTTAAAGCTTCTGAGCCTGGCGTGGTGTAGGTTCAACACCAAACATGTCAATGTGAAAGACAACTGCAACACACGCCCGAGACACAAACTTAAGCTGAATTCTAGAAGGCAGAGCTTGCCCCCCACAGCCCCATGCCCCAAACCCTACATGCCAGGGGCTTCAGGTTTGGGGTTTAGGGTTTTCTGAACCCTAAAACCCTAAACCCTAAACCCTAAACCGCTGGGCTTAGGGCTTTGGCTCTGAGGCTTAAGGGCTGATGCGCTTTCGGAGTGTCGAGGATCTCGGGCTTTCAGGGTTTTTTTTTGAGGGCCTTTTTCCACTTCGTCCGCGGAGAGCCCACTAGGGCAGGCTTGGTTACATCCCTTGCCAGCAAAGGGTTTAGGGTTTAGGGTTTGCGGGTTAGGGTTTGGGGTTTTGGGTTTACAATTTAGGGTTTGAGGTTGGGGGTTTAGGGTTTAGGGTTTGGTGTTTAGGGTTTGGGGTTGGGGGTTGGAGGTTTGGGGTTTGGGGTACCGGCGCCGATCTGCTCCAGGCCTTCGCGGGGATGACTGACTGATAGGATGCCCTGCCACATTCGGATTTGGGGCTTCGATCGTTGAGGGTTTCAAGGGGAAGTCCGTTGATCCTCTTCTGACATAGTAATAACAATAATGATAAGAATGATAATAATAATAATAAGAAAGGTACAAAAACAAAAACGACGACAACAACAATAATAGTAGTAATAACAAGAATACAGCAATAGTATTAGGTATCAGAACTTATGAACTCTGAAACTGCAGGGTTCCTGTAGTGGGGGGCTTTTGAGATCTGGATCCCCTGATTTCGGGGCCGATGTGAATAGTTTCCGAAAGTCCCATTATGTCATATGGGATAGGCATTGGTGCGGCTTTCGTACAGCATGGGGCTTAAGGCTTAAGGTTCACGTTGGTTTTGTAGTGGAACGTCTTGGATGGAGCCAGAAATCATGGTCGGTGAAGCTAAACTCGAACCGAAACTACTCGCCATCGCCATCCTTGCTATGACTATCGTCACTACTGCTTCTGGTTTCTTCGTCAGTGCTCGTCGTGCCAATATAGTAGATCCCCCACCTTGTGGCGCTTCGCGCGCACAAGATCAGCAGCAGTATGCAGGTCACCTCACTTGGAGTTCAGCCTAAGCCCCGAACCACAAACCCTAACAAACCCTACGCTTTGGTTGAGAGGCTCTGGATCACTGGGTTTTTGGTGTTCAAAATTTGTGTCGTGTTCTAAATTAGGGTCTCTTTTAGGGTGCTCTGTTTAAGGGTGCCGTACTATATTAGGGACCTAAAAAGGGACCCTAATTTAGAGAACTACCCATTTAGGGTTTCGAGCGTTTTGGGACCTCGAATCCCGGAAAGGCAGATAATTTGCCACTCTGAGTCAAGCGCGCAATCCAGAATGCAGATGCAAGGTGACGGCACGATTCAGGCTTTCGGTTCTCGAGTCTAGGGACGAAGAAATGAGACTCCTTGATGAATACTGCGAGGTCCTTCCTTACAAGTCGCATTCCTCGTCCTCCCACCGGCGCATCGACTACTCTTTCAACCTCTTGGCAATGTAGGAAGTTGCAAGTAAGGCCGGCCGTAGATGAAAGCTGGGTGCCAAACTGCCTAGCTGCTGACATGTGAGTACTACGACACCTCCACCCCGACGACTCGAACTTAGCATCAACTCTGCGAAGCTCAGGCCAAGTCTCACGTCTACGGGCTTCATACAGCCGAAATGACTTGCTCTTGTTCTAGCCTACAGAAGGTTTTCACCACTTGTAAACCCCCCTCAGGTAAACTGTAGCAGCTGAAATATCTTTACACCACCAACATTCCAAGGCACTCTATATGCCTGAGCAAAACCCTGAAACCTATCCCCCTGTGCCCTTGCGTCTTAACCGGTGGTTACACATCTCTTTCTGTAGACTTTAGGGTGCACTGATTTTGGGTCGCCGAAAGCATGGAATAGGATCGAATAGAACATAACCCAATATAGCACTCTTACTCAGGCCCCCAGCTGCAGCGAACCCAACGCTGGCCAGGTATGCCACTAACCTGACAGTCAGCTCCACAGCTTCAAGGTGTAGGGTTTAGGAAAGCTTTCGGCTTCGAAGCCGCGAGACCTAACCCTGGAGCTTGAAACTCTCAAAAACCAGAAGCCTTGCAACCAAAAGAACAGACACTGAAATCCCCTACCCCCAAACCCTCAACCTAAACCCCTAAACCCTAAACCCCAAACCTTACATCCCTAAACCCTCAGCCCTGATTGCGGCTTTAGGGCTTGGGCTCAGGGTTAAGGGCGTAAGGTGAAGTTCTCAACGCCGTGTAAAGGTGACTTCTGGCATGGCGATTCTTAGGGCTCAGCATCTGAGGGCTTTGGGCTCGAGGCCTAAATATGGCGTGGTTCTGCCGGTTCTGCTGACTCTGCCAGGCAGTCCAAGCGAAAAAGGGTCTTAGGTGTTTCGGGATTCGCCGACAGACTTCAGGAATTAGGAGGCTTGTTTACCAGACGAGCGTGATGCTTAAAAACTTATTGCACTCATCTGTGCTCATGTCGACTGCATCAGAGCTATCAGGACATGCCAGACTGCTGGACTAAAACATTCCATATCAGATCAACAACCAACCCATGCAAAGACCCACACACACACACACGAACACAAACAGACGAACAAGCACGCATTTCGAATGTGGTACTTTGTGTAGTCTGAGCTACATCAACATGGCCGGGCAGTTGCATGGCCATGTCACATCGGACAAGCACAGTGCCCATGGAAGAGCTACACGCAGGGAGGCTGGAAGCGAAAATTGGTGGCAAACAAGATAAGAAACAAACGGTCACAGATGCCCCTGCAATTCCTGGGCACCTGCTGTCGTGGAGTAGCTCCTCACCCTCAGAGACGTTTGCTGCCAGCTCGACGACAAACAGCAGCAGCCAACTGCAGCCGTTTGCTGGTAGGCTCTGCGAATTTTAGCAGCTCTTACTTCAATACCACTCTGGGTAGCTGTATAGCTACAAAGTCAACACTTCCCTTCTGCTTTCTCGTGCCAGCCTCCCCAGAGAAAGCACTAGCGCCATCGTCGGCAACCTCAGCTGCCAGGTGCCTGTTCCATTGATGTCCATTAATGTCGCGACGAACAGGTAAGAAACTAGGCTTTCGATTGTGAGACAGCATTGTCTTTGCGGACCCAGCCACGTGCAAGGAGACGGGCAAGAGCATACCTGTCTCTGAAGTCTGCCATCACCTTTCAGAAGTGAAGAGCATGCGACCACCGCCTAGTTCAGAATGCAGGAAGTCGAGCAAACATGTCTAGGAAACGAACGTAGTTCTGAAATCCGGTATCTGCATGCGATTGATTCTCAATGGGCAAGAAACATCTGCCTGCCTTTACCAGTGGCCACCTGGATGGCCGTCATCACGCCGAAATCATGGCTTCCACGAACACGCAAGGCAACTGAAGCCTAACGCTAGCGAAAAGACCCCCTGTGCGTCTCTTCGAGGACAGAGCCCGATGTAGGGGTAACTCGGCAAAAAAGGCAAGTTATCAGTCTATCAACATAGAAGTTTCTCATGACAAAGCTTGTTACAACTACTGGATCACATGGGCCAAGTGACCTGAATTCAAGATACTCAGATGATATGGGAGATGTGGACGGCTCATGTGCCGCTAGTATACGCAAGCCCTCACATGGTAGAAGGAAAGCTGGAGCCACCAGACAAACGTTGGTGAGTCCCAGACGGAGAATTGCGAACGAGAGCAATGTTCTCTCTCGGGTCTCGTCGAAACCAGCGACGGCTTCCAAGAAAGAAGGTGGGGCAACTTTGTAATCGGAGGGAGCGGCTGACAGGAGACATCCGACATGAGCGCGCAACTGGCAGTGTACATACGGCGATATGATATCACCGGCCACAGATTCAAGCAAGAAAGGCTTCAACACAAACTGGGAAACACTTCAAGCACCAAGCTCGGACTTCATGGACATAACCGACAAAATACAAAGATATGTTGACTGTCATTCCTCTTCTAACAAGGAAGGATCAGTTGAAAAAACCGATGCTCCAAAGATGCCAGCATCGACTCTACGCATCGTACTCGATGTGCAAATGGAGGTCGTCTCTTGAGCAGTGTGGCAGATGGCAGGATTCCTGAAGGGAATATTTTGCCTGCGGATTTCTTGCAAGGTGTTTTCTGTGACGAGTGCGCTGGCGGGCCTTGACAGCCACAATGTTGCAACGATAACACAAGACTGGGCACCGCTGCTATCTTGCGTGATCTTCCGAAGGCGTTTGACACGCTCAGTAATGACAGTGTACAACACAGCTCGAACATTGCCACTGGACTGGTGGTGTTCTACATGGTGGAGGAACTGGTTCGAAATTGTTCCGGCGTGTGTACGACCACTTGACGAAGGATGCAGCATTCTCCGTCAAACATTCACGCAGCTTTTGTATGAGGCTCATCACATTGATCTGTCGGTGTCGACACGTGCTGCTGCTGATGATCTTGCCAAAGTTGAAGCAGCAATCTGGTGCAACACTTCTACTCAGATGTCGTGTCAAACAACGCTCCACAGCTCAACTGGTATTGCTCCTTTGGGCACAGTCCGGTCATGGAGCATCTCACAGCCGTCAAGTGTTCAAAACAAGCAGTAACTGGCTACAGTTTCGGCTTATGTACTGCATCAAGAATTTGTTTCGAGTTTAAAAGTTGCTGGAGATAATACCTTTTGTCTATTTTTGATGTCGCCCAATGGGACCTTTTGGTTCTCGCGCCAGATGCTGACCGCAAAATCTCCACTTCACCCCTCAAAGAAGCTTTGCATGTCAGATTTGAGGGACAATCGGAACACCACTTTGTTGCTGCATCAAGAATTTGTTCTGAGTTGGAAAGTTTCTGGTAGTCAGACAGACCACATCACTTTCGAACAAGACCGGTTGCGGAACTCATGTTCAAGGCCGAAGAAAACGCACCCTGCGACTCTGCAAACTCAGCCTCGCTGGCTCAGACTGCTGTTTTCGCAGACGCCATCAAGGCTCGGTCCAGCTAGGCCACGCATCGCTACATGAGGCCTGCGAAGCTTGAAGACTCCGAAACCGCAAGACAGCGCCTAGCTGCTTAAGACCCAAACACAGGCCCTGCGAGCGACACTTGCGACGAGAGCACACAATGGAGCCTGACACAGTTCCTCTCAACGAAGACGGCACCGTGCCCGGCTTGGCTCAAGACTG